TATCTGCTTTACTCGTATCAACTCGTATCATTGTGAGTAATTCGTCAGGTCGTTGAGCAGTGGGACCAGACAGAGCGTCACAGATTGTGGTGATTCCCGACCACTACGATTTCTAAGCACGATTAGATGCGATATGTTGCGCTTTGTTATGATGCAATACCATCATGATGATGATCACAATTGATTGACAGTAAAATTGTCGTTGAAATTTTGGAACGTAGAAAATATTTCTACGATCAACACGATAGCCACTGACTTCAAGGTCTGATAAGATTTGATAGGATTGCCACGATTAGTCCACAATTAAGACCACGATTTGAATCATGGCGCAAATCGTTATAGTGTGATCATAGCATTTAGGGGATCCATCACAACAACTACCGTTTCAATTGCCATGTCTGTGGAAAAGGGTATCAACAACTGTGGAATTTCGACAGTCCATGCTCTAAAATCCATGCAACTACATGGACAGTTACTTCAACGTAAACATTCAACGCAATGGACAGTTTCAACACAACTCCATATAAAATGTACAGTTTGATTTTTCCCCAATAACTGAAAAAATACTGACGCATTAAAGCCTAAACACTGAATGAATACCTCAAATAACTATTTCTAAGAAATAAAGGCGTGTCTGCTGATGAGGTTGTCATATTTCGTGTTGGAACGATAATTTTCTGCGATCTTGTTTCGACACTCAGGAGGATGCCCTCGCTTCACGCAAAATTGCAATAAATAGAGAGGGTGTCAAGCTATTACAGAAAGATGTGTAAATTTCTAGGCCCCTCTGCCAAATGGCAAAACCTGATATACTTGCAAAATAATGAAAATGCGAGGGAAAACTTACCATTACTCTTGTGCCACACGTTCGTCTTTCACTGAAATGGAAATGGAAATGGAGTTGCTTTTGGGGTAACTCCATATTTCGTGTGGACAGTGCTTCCACCCTGTGCCGTAGGTGTCGTCTACCAGATATAATGCCACTGCGGCGAATCCTACATTGTTGAAACATCAAGACCAGTCACCATTAGGATCAAAGAACACCAGGCCTCAGTAAGAAACAAAGACTTTAAATCCATCATAGCTGACCACCTTAAAGCCAATCCAAACTACAAGATCAGATGGAACACCACCAAGGTCATCGAGAGGAACCAGGCTGACTTCAAAACCCGCAAACTACTTGAAGCTCTCCATATAAAGAAGATTTGCCCAGCTATCAAGAGAGATGAAGGATATTTCATCCCCAAGGCCTATCATCACTTGCTGAATTAATTTTCATGTAACCTTACCCAACCACTGTACATTATCCCTTGTGTCATTGTACATCATCCCTTGTGTAACATCACTTTTACTACTGGCTTCCCAACAGTCTCTTTACCACCTATGTAAACAACCATCAACATCCTTAATCCCTTATGTATACAACCAAGTACATCTCTACTGGCTTCCAATCAACCTGACCGATTCCGTGGTATAGTGGTTAGAGCGTCCTCCCGGAGAGCAGACGGTCCCGGGATCGATCCCCGACCGCGTAATACCAAAAGACGTTAAAATATGGTACTTGTTGGTCTCTGCCTGGCGCTCGGCATTAATGGGCACATAAAGGACTGGTCGGCTCGGAGTTAGTTTAATGTGTCTGAGTGGGGTATTCATGCTTCACTGCGGCATGGTATCTCAGTGGGCTAGCACTATAAAACCAGCTTCAACCTGGGCTAGTACATACACACGCATGCACGTCGTCATATTAACGAAATACTCTCAAGCACGATGTTAAAATTTCACCTCACCTCCAATCAACCTACTTAATCCTGTATACCATCTGTGTTATCAACCTCTTCCCTCATCTATTGTCCAAACATCTCATGTATATATAGCACCCAAAATTACTTCTCATGTATCATTTGCTTGACATCGACATTAGAATCTATGTTGTATATCCATAAAAAATAGTCCTCATTCTTCATCTACCCAACTGCTAGAATGCCAGTCAAAGTATTCTATGCTACATTATCTAAATTATATACTTCGCAAAGAAAATTACGTAATCAAATACAATGGGAACGAGACAAAAACGAAAATTATACAAGTAGACCAGTGGAAAATTTATAATCTCATACCTTTCACTCAATACACAACTCCGATGGCTACAATTTAAAATTATCCAGAGAATTCTTTCTGTGATGGGGCGGTGGTGTAGCCTAGAGGTTAAAGAGTTTGCTCGTCACAACGAAGACGGTGGTTTTTTTGGATATAAAGAAAGAAGAAATGATTTTAATTCATCTATGCAAACAGATTTTTAAAATCTTTCTCTACCATAAAAGAACTATAACGCCATCTAACTATCTTATATAAGGTAGATAGATGTGCAGCATACTCAAGATACTACACGGGTTTTTGGTCTTCATGTCATAACCTCTTCATATAATAAATTTAAACTACTCTTCAATCCTTGGTTGCCATGTGAAAACCCCTTCACATTAAAGAAATTACTTAATGTCTTTTTTCATTTCATATTCGCCAAATGTACATATGAAAATATATACAATATTATATTATATGTACATATATCTCAAATTATTAAATTGATTGTCTCTATAATCGTGTAATACCCTGTACCTTTCAAAATACAATAAAGTGATAAAGAAACCCACCAAACCCAAAGAGTGCCTTTACCATTGAACTTAAAAATAGGTTCCAAGCTCTTACCAAAACATTCTGTTCCCACAGAGGTTACTCCTGTCATATTTTCCTACGTAACCTCTGTTCTAATACGGCCCTTTCATGGTGCGAGTGTTCTGGATTCGTGATTGATTGCAATCAGATTTAGTTTTGCAATCAGCGACGTTGTTTCAAAAGTGATCATTCGCAAGGCCTTGGTCATTTCCGTATGCTTCAGGAAAACTAGAACCTCTTCCCCAGCAGGGACAACAGACAAGCTAGCCATTAAATGTGTTAAGTGTCACATCCATTAAAAACATCTTGTCGATTGATTCCTGCACTCTCTCTTGCGCTAGTTTCTGCTTTTCAGTTAAACATGAAATACCAAACCTATTCTTCGTACGTTGATCAACTGACTCCATGGCAGCCACCATATTGGATCTAAGTCGATGTAACACGTGATCAGATTGGATAGAAAGAAGCGAGATAATTCGTGTTGCGATTTTTGGTTGCTTGGGGATTATGCGAAAAGTGGGAAACATGGCCGTATTAGAACAGAGGTTACGTAGGAAGATATGACAGGAGTAACCTCTGTGGGAAGAGAATGTTACCAAAAAGCAACCTATACTGAGGCAAGCAAATCCTGTCTAGGAACTCAACAACGTGAAAGGAAGGAATGGATCACACCGACACATGGCAAGCCATTGAGAATAGAAGATTTATAAAGAACAGCATCAACACGGCCAAGTCAGAAAGGCTCAAAGAGAGGCACAGACAGAAATACAGAGAGGCTAACAAGACAGTAAAGAGAATGGCAAGAGCGGATAAGAGGGAACACATGGATAACCTGGCAAAAGCGGATAAGAGGGAACACATGGATAACCTGGCAAGAGCGGATAAGAGGGAACACATGGATAACCTGGCAAAAGCGGATAAGAGGGAACACATGGATAACCTGGCAAGAGCGGATAAGAAGGAACACATGGATAACCAGGCAAGAGCGAATAAGAGGGAACACATGGATAACCTGGCAAGAGCGGATAAGAGGGAACACATGGATAACCAGGCAAGAGCGGATAAGAGGGAACACATGGATAACCTGGCAAGAGCGAATAAGAAGGAACACATGGATAACCAGGCAAGAGCGGATAAGAGGGAACACATGGATAACCTGGCAAGAGCGGATAAGAGGGAACACATGGATAACCTGGCAAGTCAAGCGGAAGATGCAGCAAACAAAGAACAAGATCACCAGAAAAAATCTGTGGAAAGTCTCGGCCATAAAGACCCTCAAAAAAAGGAAAGCTCCCGGACAGGGCAATCTAAATGCAGAGCTGTTTAAGTGCAACCCTGAGCTTGCAGCTGACTCACTACATCCACTCTTCACAGCCATACGGAATGAGAAGGAAATACTGAAAGGGTGTGTATCTCCATTTCATTCGTGACCACTCGTGTTATTCCGGGACAATTTTTCTTGGAGGTTATGGAAAAGATCGAGTGGTGATGAATGGAATGGAATACGGCATTCAGCTAGTTCCAGAATAGCACGAAATGGTCATGAATGTTGTCACACCCTTCGTGACACACTCATGTTATTCCGGGACAAGTCACAAATCACAATCATATTACATCCACTCATGCCTCGAAACCAAGTGCAGTTGACAAATATGGATATGAAAATATAATGTTTCGATAAGTCACATTTATTACAGCTGGATGACCACTTGTCAACAAACTCGATTTAAGTAGCGAGATCGTGCGAAATCGAAACGCCGACACGTGAAATTGTTCCATACATAAAACGCATCCAGCGCTACACTAAGTGCTGCAGCATAACCTTATGAATATTTTGCATTTACAGAGCAAAACATGGGAAATGCTTGTCCGCTCACTGTATCCACATTTATTTGCCTTATATTATTGGGTACGTTTTAACCAAACAACCAAGGCAGATCGCAGGGAAACGTGTGCACAGCTGATTGCTATTTCCGGGCCTGTTGCCGAGACAAATACACACAGTACACTTAATCCCGGTATATATCGATAAAGATGTTGAAATAGTTCAAAAGGAAAATGAAAGTATTTCTTTCATAGATTTAATTCACCAGAACAATTACGTCTTTTTGGTGCTGAAATATATATGGTAAGAAAGGGACATTTTCATAGTGTCTGAAAGGGTATATCATCCTCCTCCTAGTATATCATACAGTGTCAAATGTTCAAAGTTTCATAATTGATCTTCAACTTTGATATAAAGCAGGTGAGCTACTGTCCAGGGCTCTAAGCTGTCAGACCAGTATATTTTATAGCATAATTAGATTCTCCATTATTTTCACAGATAGTGCTACGTGACAAAAGGAGCCAGCCAAGATAAGGACAGTGAACATCTCATCTTGGCTATGTCCAGTGGGCAGCCAGAAGACAACATGGCCACTTCCAGTGGGCAACCTGAAGGTCTCGTGGCCCCTTCCAGTGGGCAGCCTGAAGGTCACGTGGCCCCTTCCAGTGGACCACCTGAAGGTCACATGGACATGTCAGCTTTGAGAAGTGACTTACCTGTTTCTGATGTTGATACCAGTTCAGACGAGGAACATGAAGGTCACTTGGTACAAGCAGGTTCAGCTGAGCACGAGGAGGTCCTTGACCTAGAGAGCCAAGCAATCACACTAAATACAGGTGGGTGTCACTGTTGGTTTGATCAACAATCTCGAAGTTGGTGAGTCCAAAAAGAAGCATATAACTTTAGGATGACAATTTCTTGTTTATTGAATAGAGCAATGCTTCGATGTAGATTCATACACCATTATCAAGACAAACAGCAAATCTGCCATGTCAGGTCACCAACAAAAATTCACTAACCATCTAATCCAGTTTGACAAAGTTGAAATCCTATCCACTAAGAATCAGGATTCCACTAAAACCTTTTGGAAGCCTTCGGAATTTGCTGTCACTTGTTATCAAAGCTTACATGCAACGCAAAACATAACTTTGCAGATTCTGATACCTTTTGGTATGGGGTTACCCTGCTTACAGTAACAAATTATCAAAAATGCAAATTCAACTTATAAAGTTGAAAAATAACGCGCTGAAAAAAATCCCGCAAAATCAGAGTTCAAACGATTCACTTAAAAACCAGCTGAGGTGAAAAATGGTTTCAACAGCTGTGCTTGCTGTGCACATAGCGCATGCACAGTGAATAGGTTTGCACGGCTTGAACCGGGCTGCCCGGATTATAAGGTCGTGTGCAGGAGTAGTCTAATCTTGGTTTTGTACAAAAATAACAAATAGTAAATAATCTACTCGTTACATAAAATAAACCATGTTGATTGTGATAAGCAGCCTCTGTCACAGACAAAACTCAATGTCTGTTTTATTGCCCCTGTGTGTCTGCCTGCCTGTCTGCTAATGACAATATGCAATGCACAACTTCAATCACTGACCACATGCAATTTGAGCTCAACACCTATCAGGCTATACACCATAAACAAAGAGCTCTGAGTGTATCGGCAAATGAACCAGCCAATGAAACACTTTGTTACGCTTAAGTGCATACCCACCCGCTCTGACTGGGTTCGGTACCCCGGATGCTTTATTTCGAGGATAATATACCCAAGTACAAAATATTGCACTTTTGATTTGAGATTGTACGCTTATAATTTTGTTTATTTGTTTTTTCATAATCGAAAATGTATATTATGTGTCATAAATAAGTGACAATTGTGTTTTAATTATGTTTATTTTGTTAGTTGCATCTAAGCTTTAAATTACATGCAGTTGTTAATGTTAATCTGCTGCTTGTCATAACATACTAGTCTATGTATATATATATATACTTATCATCACATATTTGTAGTCACTTTCAGCCTGATAACAGTGTAACAAACGACATGCAAACATCGCTGTATGCAAAAATAAGAAATTGTCATCCATAAAGTTGTATGCTTCATTCTTGGTGTCACGTTGTACTGGGCTTCCATTTTGTCACCCTGATTGTTTATTTCAAATAAAATACCCCTAGGGGCATTATTCAAAATGTAATGCATCAACAAAAACTGAATTGTTTGAGATATCTTATTTGTGTAATTACACTGAATAGCTGGATCAAGCTCCAATTCAAACAGTAATTTGAATTTTTATTCAGATTGACATTTTTGTCATGGGTTACTAGTATTCTTGATGTATATCTACCCCGTTCTTGTTTACTTGTTCAAAACTGTCAATGTTGTTCCAATTTCATATGGAAACATTTCAATTCTCACCAATTAATACTGGCTGCCAGAACAGCTTGTTTAAGTGAGAAATACAGGTTATAATACCAAATTCTTCTTCACAGAAACTATGTGATATATATTGTTCAAATATTTCAATGATGTTCTTAGCCCCTTTATTACATAGGAGTAATGATTGAATTTTGAAAATCGCAAAATGACTGCAATATTGTCCGAAATTCAATGTGTGGAATCATACAAATATCCAAATGTGTACCACATACCAAGTTTACCAGGATTTTCTTTACCGAAAACATCCTCTTGTGTTTTTAATGGTGGCTATTCTATCCACAACCACTACTGTATCCATTCTGTTACAAATGTTATAAATACTGGACCAATTTGTTTCTGATATGACAATAGAGCTGTGACGATATATCGTAGTATCAATAATCGTGATACTTTATCTGACGATAAATATATCGATACGTTTTTTCGTATCGTGACATGTATCGTTGACCTTAAAATTGTTAATTTTCATTAGATATTGACGGTTGTGTCAAAATGTCTTACTATTAAAATATGAGATTTTAAAGAAAATAATTAAAGAAAGCATATCGTGATATGCATAGAATAGAATCGTATCGTTCCAAGATATTGCGATGCGTATCGTATCGTGAAATTTCTGTCTTGTCACATCTCTAACATCACAATATCTTGCATTCGTCACCACTCCCCCATTTCCGTAATCTCCAAGAAGACTCGTCCCCCTATCGATGCTTGTTATGTGCGAAAATACGACAAACCAATCAGAAGTCGTGTAATGGTTGCGGTGCTTTGATAAAAATAATACTGACTACTTAAATCGTTTATGGCTTTATGTTATTGTTTAAAAAGTCATGAAAAATATATATCGTCTTATTGAAAGTACTAAGGACATAGCTAACAGAACTGTATAGATTTTAGCAAGGATAATGTGGTTGACGGTGAGAGATTCAAATACACGCACGTGCGTTTGTTGACATAACAGCTCTCACGGGTCCAGCTGAGTGTATTTCTGATGATCTTGTGGGCCTTTATTTGGTGATTTTATTGTTCCCAATGTGATGAGTACAAAAACATGATGATGACAAGCATATAGAGGAATATGTGCACATACAAGCTAGTGGGCTCAAATAAGCGATATAGTGACACTTTTTTTAAACATTGAATATCAATGTTAGTGATATGTTTTTGTTTAATAGTCATTCAGGGTTAAATTCAGGGATGAGAGGAAACCATTTGACTAAAAAGCTTTCAACATTATTATTTCTTCTGGAGATGAATGATTCAGTGGTAAATATGTCTTTCAATATCCTTAAGTAATTATCAACTTTTGGAATTGTTTTGTCAAAGAGCAAGTGTAAATATATCTCTTAGCAGATAAGATTATGTGGTTCAATAATGGGTTCTTACCTAAAAAGCCAAACCAAATCAAAGATTTTGTCAAATTAAGTGTTTGGATACGTTTCGTAATCCACTGTTCAAGTTTCTTCCAGAAAGTTTTGGTTTCATCACATTCCCAATATACATGGCATAAGGTTTCAACAGAATCATTACACAAAGAACATATTGTATTGTCCACCAGATTCATTCTAAAAGTTCTTTTTGGTATAAACAATTCCGTGCAGAAATTTATATTGAAAATCTAACAGTTTCACATCTCTTAAATTCTTTCTACAAGTATGAAAAATCAAATGCCAATCAAAATCAATACAGTCAAATAATGTTTCCCATTTTTGGCACATGTGAGGTTTAACATTTTCAGATAACAATTTATCATAGAATAATCTTGAACCTTTTCTTGGGGATATGAAATCCTTTTGGAGTGAATTTATTGTGAGGTCATTAATGTTTATATATCTATATTCCTTTAAAGTCTTTTTCCAAGGTTCAGGTAAAATATATATAACATATCCAAGATCTAAGTGAGTAGCTTTTATATCAAATTTAAGCTTCAACTGATCGAAGGATATAACCCATGTTCATCACAAATATCTTTGATCGTCAAGATTCCACTTTTAGCCCAGTGACTAATGATGTGATTTGAGTTTTTGAAATTGTTATTCAACCATAAAGGTTGGGCTAAGATTTCATTAATGTTCCCTGCATCTATGGTATTTTTGATACAATATAATTTCCATGCTTTTAATACGTCTTTCCAAAAAGGATTATCAACTGCAACTATGTTCTGAAAATTTGCTCCATATTTTAGCATATCCTTAAAAGGAAAATTGCATGGGTTACCAGGAATTGTCTGGAGGGTTAGGTAAAGTGTTAAAAATATGAACTAATTTTGAAAGAGCCAATGTCTTAATAACAGTAATTTTCCCTATCAGCGTCAAATGTCTTTTTTTCCAAGTTGCCAGTAATCTATTAATTTCTTCTAGTCTTTTCTTTGTGTTAAAAACCCATAAATCATTCGAAACTGGAGTAAATTTAATTCCTAATACTTCAAATTGTTTTCTTTGCCATTGTATATTCAAATCTTGACATAGTATATCCCTGTTACCGGCTTTTGATCCAATCCAGATTGCTTTAGTCTTATCTATGTTTATCTTTAGTCCTGACATATTGTAAAATGTATTAAGTGTGTCTATAGCAGAATACAAGTTTTCATCTGAGCCATCAAAAAATAATTCAGTGTCATCTGCATATTGACCTAATTTGTATTCTGGATGATCAATTACAATAACCTTTATAGTTTGAGTTGCCTTATCATACATCCTAGGATTTCAGCAAGCAAAGAAATAGATATGAAGTATAATACATGAGTATAATTAATACACTTTCACAAATCCCCTCATACCATGAATAAACGTCTTTGAATATGTTTTGCATACTGTATCTCTGTGTTTCAAATAATAGTAATAGTAATTAAATACATTTACAATATGTTTTCTGACGTAATATTTTTTGTAAATAGATTGTGGAAAGATGACTAGAAGGTAAAGAACTCACTGCTACTGCATGTAGAGTAAGCATTATATTTTGTAATTTCATAGTATTTTGATATCTCCCTTACTACATTTGGAAATTTGGAACTTGTTGTTTTATTTTTTGTGTGTATATTACCTGTTTCATAGCAAGACATATTGCATTTAGGGAATTATTATTTTCCCCCTTAAATCCAAGTAAGATGTTTTCTGGTGTAAAGTCAATGTTGCCTTCAGTTACAGTCATTAGCCATCTGGTCAAACTCTCCCAAATCTTCTTAACATGACAACAATTACAGAATAGATGGACAATTGTTTCTAATTCCTTCAACAGAATGTACATATAGGTGTGTCCCTTAGACCGATTCTATTTAAGAAAATGTTTGTGGGTAAAATATCATATAATATCTTCATCTGTAACCATTTCAAGTTACTACATGTTGTACAAAGATTTATCATCATATATATGTTTTGTAATATTGTGTTATCAGACAGACAGACAGACAGGTTTATTTCATGAATGTGGCCATGAGGCCATTAGTACAAAATGACAACTTAGATCAAACTTTTTCAGAGCACATCGACATGATTTTGTTTACAAAAATTGCTAGACGGAGTAGGATATTATGGTTCTTAGTATTTGGAAGATGTAAAAAAAATTGTTTATTTGGGTTCATAATACAGATACTTGGTATGTAGTGAGTTCTTACCGCTACATATAAAGGATATTTCATTAACACATGATACACATCTTCTGGTACGCTTTTACAATAATCGCACATAGCTACACTAATGTCATTGTCTTAAGATCTTCTATATGAAACTATTTTCAAATTGGTGGAGCCGCATCTGAATTTTGTTAAGACTCTGCGCAGATGTAACGAAGAGAGTGCAATCAAATACAATTCCGGAACAATATCAGATTTAAAGGCAGAATTCAAATGTAATGATTTTGAGTTTCTTATATCTTGTGTCCATTCTTGATAGTACATGTCTTTACAACGTTGTTTGAAAAGATTTAAAAACAATTCCCAGTTTCCAATATTTTGATATATCCATACTCTAGCAAAGCCATGTTGAAATAATATTGATTGTACTGCCGAAGCCCAGTTAATATCTCCATTGTCGTCTAAACGTATCAACATATCATACGAGCGACGTGAGTAACGTGTGTCTGATGTTAGTGTGTTATCATGCTGTGTTTCAAAGACTCTTTCCCTCTCTTTATGTGCATATGATTTAGTGTAATTGGGGTCTAGTAGAGAAAGATGAAAGGTTTTGGAGCCTTTAACCCTTAGACTAAGTTTGGATATATTGAGTGGTAGTATTGGAGAAAATGGTAGTGTTTTGGGAAGAGTGATTTTCTTCTCTTTAAGCAGGCAATTATGGAAGATTTGCTACTATGATATCTTAAGATATATGTTGTAACTTGATATATTTTTTTTGTAGTTCTTCATAAGTATAGAATTCCCCTGTAGTTGGGTTCATTAGGTCATAAATAAAGTGCATTCCTGCATTGTACCAACTGTTTATAAACATTGTCTCGTTACCTATGTTAAACATATAATTAAACCAAATACATTGGTTTAACATGTCAATTGAGCTAAGTGTCTTATATTGCTTTTGTAAATATAATCCGCATGCAGAGAGTACATCTCTCGATCTGCAGCTATTGGAATATAATCTCTTCAGCCATGATATTTGTGTGCATAAATAATATTCTTGATGAGTGGGACACTAATTCCTTCATATTCAGGTGGCATAGCAATTACATCTCTTTTAATTTTATCAGGTTTGTCTTTCCATACAAATTTGAAACAGGCTTGTTGAAATTTGTTTATTATTTCCTCTGGGGGGAACAGCTGGTAATAATTAAGTCAGAATATGTCTTTAGAATATGTTTTTATCGTTTTAGTTGTATCAAAGAGGTTTAGTTCTTTAAAATAAATAAGTAAAAACAAAAACAGCAATACAATGTACGAGTGCTTCGGTGATTTTAAGTACCATTGGCATCAAACAGGAATAGAATTATCATTCTTGTTTAAAGTAGTTCTGATGTTCAATATGAAATCCTTCCAGAGGGGCACGAGTCGCTATTCGGCTTGTCCCGGAATAACACGAGTTGGTCACGAATGATCATTATCTTGCAGTACAGACTTCACACAGAATTCGTCTTGCTAAGCAGCCCCATGTAAACTCAGGAAATCATAATACCAGTGATTCTCAGATTTGGTTACTATCATACTTACAGTTTGAAAATGCTCTTATGTTTAATACACATCATTGTTTAGATTGGTATATGCCTTCCTTGAGGAAGGGTATTGAAATGACAAGGTTCAGGGCAGCCATGTTTTCAACTATAGCAAATCAAAGCAAGTGATAGTTGAGCAGCTGAATTTGTGGTACAGCTTTCTCATACAAGTACCTTGACCCTCTGATTTCACAGAGTATAGTAGAATGTCTCTACTTCTCGAACTAAATGTGAAGAATCTTACCCTGATTCATGATGAACATGTTTTGATCATCAACTGTTGTTATCAGTTGGTAAGTTTTATGATGAAGAGAAGACCAGATCGATTGAGCTGGATCTTTGGAATGATGTTCACCGAACTCTTAAGCTCTGCAACATTATTAAATATTTTATTCAGTGTGGAAAGAAAACACCATTGTTACCATGGTTACCATGGTTACTGATGATTCTTCCTCCTGGTTGGTGTTGACAGGTGAACAGCGTTCAGGGAATGCCCAAGCTGCCAACATTCTCAACATCGTCACTGGAGGGGCAGGACAAGGAACACTGGGGAGAGGTGAGTGTTGATGGAGGAAGGGTCAGTAAGTGACCAGATCTTGTTCAAGACTATTACCATTTGGATTTACACACCTATAACCAAAGAGAAAACTTCACAAACTGTTGAATTTTTGTTTGAAATTGATCACGTGAAATTTTGCCATTTTCCTCACAAGCTAGGAGGTTCAAACAGTTTAAACAGTACATGCAAGTCATTCACTCTGCGATGAACCCATCAAAACTGACATTCAGTTCTTAATGAATAATGTTGTGTATGGTTACCTAGGAACAATGAATGAAGACAGTTGTCACACAAGCTGTGTTTATTATCTCCCGCCTTGAAGTGGAAGGGGGATATAGATTTGAGCTCCGTCCATATATCCGAGCTGATGGGGACAGATTTTCTCAAACCGTTATAGATAGGGAAACCAACTTCGGTATGTGTTTTCAGGACATGAATGCCTTGATGGACTTTGAAAACGGAAACTGTGTTACAATTTGTTTACAGAGTTATGGCCGTTGTCATTTTTACTTGACGGTGCATGGTATCCCCAATGGGAACAGAAATTCTCAGTAACTGTCATACAAATAAATAGGGAAACCAAATGTATGTGTTTTCAGGACATGTATGTCGTGGTGGGGTTAAAAAACCCAGAGCTAATAGGAACAGAACACTGGCAGGGGATATTTATGAAAATGTCTTCTTGTTTCGCTATATTTGTTCTGCAGCACGTACCAGTGCAACAATCATAATCATTTGTCAGAATACAGAGGTGTTTCCTGTTCAGTTTAAAGTACTGTGGCAGCGTTCTAGATGAAGCTATCTCCAGTCATTAAGACTAAAAGGTTCCAACCACAATGAAATAGGTAAATATTTTGTCATTTTATGTGAACATCCTAGTATTTCCTGGTGTGGTGAACAGTTTTTGTATTCCTTCAGATACCCTTGATTTACGCACAGATGAAGCAAGGAAGATTTTTGCTCCAACTGAAGCCTACAGAAAAGTGAAACAGAAATTGAAGGAATTTGGTCATGTGACTATCTGTGGTGCTTCAGGAGAGGGCAAGACAACAATGGCTCTGATGCTGGGTTCAAGGTATAGACAAAAGGGGTACGAAGTCGTGTTTGTGGACAGCCTTAAGAAGTTTGACTTTGACCGCTGTCTTAGTACTTACTCAAAAGTATTCCTCATTGTGGATGATTTGTTTGGTACAGTTGGAGTATCTGCTAATACTTCACAGGTTAAAAACTTTCTCAATAATCTTCTCCCACAATTAAAACAAAAAGCAAAAAGCAGAAGAAAAACGGTCAGAATTGAGTGAAAACAGTTGATCCTGTTGAAGAATCCAGAAAGAAAATGCAACATTTAAAAGAATCTCAAACAAAAGGATATTCATGTTGTCTTCACATCAAAATCATACAATTTCCACGATGGACTTGCAAAAAACTGCAGTATGAGGGTTTGAAATTGTTCAAAGAGATCGAACAGTAGTGGACTTAACAAAAACAAGAACAATACAGGCTTTCTGACAAAGAGAAAAAGTCAATATATGAACAACATAAACGTGCCTTTGGTGACAGCTCTGTGCAACATATTCCAGATTACAATGAGCTGGAAATCTGTTCCAACATTTTTGGATTTCCTCTCATTTGTAAACTTTGTTTTGAATTTTCCTCTTTCTTTAAAAATGCAAATTCATTTTTCAAGGAACCACTATTTTATCTTAGATTAGAACTAAAGCAGTTACTTGAAGATAGAAATGATAGATCGGCCATATTGGTTCTGATGCTGCTGTGTGAAGACAAATTGAATCTGACCAGGTTAGACAGTGGAGATAAAGACAAGGAAATGGACATGATGGTCAAAACTGTTCAAGACCTGATGCCAAAAGCTACACGTTCAGACATGTACAAAGCAGCTAAAAGTCTCAGAGGTACATTCTTCACTAGAGGAGACACTGTTGGCTTTGCCCATTCTTCAATCTATGATGCTTGTGCCTGTGCCTTGTACAATATCAGTCCAGTCTTTGTTTTGAAGAACTGTAGTGATGACTTTCTGTTTGAAAGAGTTCAAGGTAAAAAGGTTGAAGAAACTAAAATTGATGACCATCTCCATCTGATATATGTCTCAGATAATTATGATGACCTACTTACCACAAGGTTTGCACATTCTATTAAACAAGGAAAGTTTTCTCAATCAGTGACACATCCAGTTCTCAAACGAGACACAACAGCTTTAAAACTGCTCAACAAACTTCAGTGTGATGGGACAAAGCACCACCATCCGCATAATCAAACTGATTCTAAAGATGAACTTTGGTTTCACAGGAGAGAGAAAAGAAAATGTTTTCTGTACTGGGCAGTTCTTGGACATAATGCACTTCTAGTTACAGATATTGAACACACAACTGGAGAAGAGTTCACTCAAGAGGAGATCAGTCAAGCTATGGAAGGGTGTGCACAAAGCAACAATGTGACAGTATTGAAATGGCTCTTCACTCGCTCTGAAAAACCAGTTCAACAATTGACACTGAACAGACTCTTGTTGCAAGCTGCGGAAAATGGCAGCTCCGATATTCTAGTGTATCTGCTCCAGGAAGGTGCTGATGTTAACACGAGAGACAAGGACTTTCAAAACATCTTCCATCTGGTTTGTAAGATAGGAATGGAAACATCCCTGAAAATCCTGTTAGATAGGAAACCTGGAGATAATGTTATAAACTCTGCTGATGTGAATGGCCGAACCCCTGTCATGGTTACAGCAATTTCAGCATCAGATGGTTGTTTTGAGCTACTACGGAAAATATCAGACTTGAATGTGAAAGATAAATATTGCTATGGAATTATTCATCTTGCCTGTCAGGGTGGGAACACTGCTATAGTTCAACACCTCCTGTCTCCCTCTAACATCAACAGTAGAGGTGAGTATGGCTGGACACCAGTAATGGTGGCAGCTGTCAGTGGACATCAAAGTGTGTTTGACCTCCTTGTGTCCAACCAAGCTGACCTGACACTGGTGTCTACATCTGGTGATAGTTTACTTCATCTTGCCTGTCAGGGTGGGAACACTGCTATAGCACAACACCTCCTGTCTCACTCTAACTACAACAGTAGAGGGATGCATGGCTGGACGCCAGCGATGATGGCAGCTGTCAGTGGACATCAAAGTGTGTTTGACCTCCTTGTGTCCAACCATGCTGACCTGACACTGGTGGATACATCTGGTGATAGTTTACTTCATCTTGCCTGTCGTGGTGGGAACACTGCTATAGTTCAACACCTCCTGTCTCCTTCTAACATCAACAGTAGAGGGAGACATGGCTGGACGCCACTGATGAAGGCAGCTGTCAATGGACATCAAAGTGTGTTTGACCTCCTTGTGTCCAACCAAGCTGATCTGACACTGGTGGATACATATGGTGATAGTTTACTTTATCTTGCCTGTCAGGGTGGGAACACTGCTATAGTACAACACCTCCTGTCCCCCTCTAACATCAACAGTAGATGGACACATGGATGGACGCCACTGATGAAGGCAGCTGTCAGTGGACATCAAAGTGTGTTTGACCTCCTTGTGTCAAACCAAGCTGACCCGACACTGGTTGATACACATGGTGATAGTTTACTTCATCTTGCCTGTCAGGGTGGGAACACTACTGTTGTTCAACACCTCCTGTCTCCTTCAAACATCAACAGTAGAGGGAGACATGGATGGACGCCAGCAATGAAGGCAGCTGTCAGTGGACATCAAAGTGTGTTTAACCTCCTTGTGTCCAACCAAGCTGACCTGACACTGGTGTCTACATCTGGTGATAGTTTACTTCATCTTGCCTGTCGTGGTGGGAACACTGCTATACTACAACACCTCCTGTCTCCCTCTAACATCAACAGTAGAGGTGAGTATGGCTGGACACCAGTAATGGTGGCAGCTGTCAGTGGACATCAAAGTGTGTTTGACCTCCTTGTGTCCATCCAAGCTGACCTGACACTGCTGTATACATCTGGTGATAGTTTACTTCATCTTGCCTGTCAGGGTGGGAACACTGCTATAGTACAACACCTCCTGTCTCCTTCTAACATCAACAGTAGAGGGACACATGGAAGGACTCCAGCAATGAAGGCAGCTGTCAGTGGACATCAAAGTGTGTTTGACCTCCTTGTGTCCAACCAAGCTGACCTGACACTGCTGGATACATCTGGTGATAGTTTACTTCATCTTGCCTGTCAGGGTGGGAACACTGCTATAGTACAACACCTCCTGTCTCCTTCTAACATCAACAGTAGAGGGATGCATGGCTGGACGCCTGCCATGGTGGCAGCTGTCGGTGGACATCAAAGTGTGTTTGACCTCCTTGTGTCCAACCAAGCTGACCTGACACTGGTAGATATATCTGGTGATAGTTTACTTCATCTTGCCTGTCAGGGTGGGTACACTGCCATAGTGCAACACCTCCTGTCGCCTTCTATCATCAACAGTAGAGGGATGCATGGCAGGACGCCAGCGATGATGGCAGCTGTCAGTGGACATCAAAGTGTGTTTGACCTCCTTGTGTCCAACCAAGCTGACCTGACACTGGTGTCTACATATGGTGATAGTTTACTTCATCTTGCCTGTCAGGGTGGGAACACTGCTATAGTACAACACCTCCTGTCTCCTTCTATCATCAACAGTAGAGGGATGCATGGCAGGACGCCAGCGATGATGGCAGCTGTCAGTGGACATCAAAGTGTGTTTGACCTCCTTGTGTCCAACCAAGCTGACCTGACACTGGTGTCTACATATGGTGATAGTTTACTTCATCTTGCCTGTCAGGGTGGGAACACTGCTATAGTACAACACCTCCTGTCTCCTTCTAACATCAACAGTAGAGGGGTGCATGGCTGGACGCCAGCGATGATGGCAGCTGTCGGTGGACATCAAAGTGTGTTTGACCTCCTTGTGTCCAACCAAGCTGACCTGACACTGGTAGATATATCTGGTGATTGTTTACTTCATCTTGCCTGTCGTGGTGGGAACACTACTATAGCACAACACCTCCTGTCTCCTTCTAACATCAACAGTAGAGGGATGCATGGCTGGACGCCAGCGATGATGGCAGCTGTCAGTGGACATCAAAGCGTGTTTGACCTCCTTGTGTCCAACCAAGCTGACCTGACACTGGTGTCTACATCTGGTGATAGTTTACTTCATCTTGCCTGTCAGGGTGGGAACACTGCTATAGTACAACACCTCCTGTCTCCTTCAAACATCAACAGTAGAGGTCAGCTTGAAAGGACGCCTGCCATGGTGGCAGCTGTCAGTGGACATCAAAGTGTGTTTGACCTCCTTGTGTCCAACCAAGCTGACCTGACACTGGTGGATACATCTGGTGATAGTTTACTTCATCTTGCCTGTCAGGGTGGGAACACTACTATAGCACAACACCTCCTGTCTCCTTCTAACATCAACAGTAGAGGGATGCATGGCTGGACGCCAGCGATGATGGCAGCTGTCAGTGGACATCAAAGCGTGTTTGACCTCCTTGTGTCCAACCAAGCTGACCTGACACTGGTGTCTACATCTGGTGATAGTTTACTTCATGTTGCCTGTTGTGGTGGGAACACTGCTATAGTACAACACCTCCTGTCTCCTTCAAACATCAACAGTAGAGGTCAGCTTGAAAGGACGCCTGCCATGGTGGCAGCTGTCAGTGGACATCAAAGTGTGTTTGACCTCCTTGTGTCCAACCAAGCTGACCTGACACTGGTGTCTACATCTGGTGATAGTTTACTTCATCTTGCCTGTCAGGGTGGGAACACTGCTATAGTACAACCCCTCCTGTCTCCTTCTAACATCAACAGTAGAGGGATGCATGGCTTGACGCCAGCGATGATGGCAGCTGTCAGTGGACATCAAAGTATGTTTGACCTCCTTGTGTCCAACCAAGCTGACCTGACACTGGTGTCTACATCTGGTGATAGTTTACTTCATGTTGCCTGTTGTGGTGGGAACACTGCTATAGTACAACACCTCCTGTCTCCTTCAAACATCAACAGTAGAGGTCAGCTTGAAAGGACGCCTGCCATGGTGGCAGCTGTCAGTGGACATCAAAGTGTGTTTGACCTCCTTGTGTCCAACCAAGCTGACCTGACACTGGTGTCTACATCTGGTGATAGTTTACTTCATCTTGCCTGTCAGGGTGGGAACACTGCTATAGTACAACCCCTCCTGTCTCCTTCTAACATCAACAGTAGAGGGATGCATGGCTGGACGCCAGCGATGATGGCAGCTGTCAGTGGACATAAAAGTATGTTTGACCTCCTTGTGTCCAACCAAGCTGACCTGACACTGGTGTCTACATCTGGTGATAGTTTACTTCATCTTGCCTGTCAGGGTGGGAACACTGCTATAGTACAACACCTCCTTTCTCCCTCTAACATCAACAGTAGAGGTCAGCTTGAAAGGACGCCTGCCATGGTGGCAGCTGTCAGTGGACATCAAAGTGTGTTTGACCTCCTTGTGTCCAACCAAGCTGACCTGACACTGGTGGATACATCTGGTGATAGTTTACTTCATCTTGCCTGTCGTGGTGGGAACACTGCTATAGTACAACCCCTCCTGTCTCCTTCTAACATCAACAGTAGAGGGATGCATGGCTGGACGCCAGCGATGATGGCAGCTGTCAGTGGACATCAAAGTATGTTTGACCTCCTTGTGTCCAACCAAGCTGACCTGACACTGGTGTCTACATCTGGTGATAGTTTACTTCATCTTGCCTGTCAGGGTGGGAACACTGCTATAGTACAACACCTCAGGCGTGTTCAGAACCGCGAGCGCCCGCGCGATTGCCTCCCGCGAACGCTCGCATAGGCCCTGAACGGACACGAGCGCTCGGTGACAACAAACAAAATGGCGGCGCAACTGGAAGAAGAGTGTGTGTTGGAAGTAGCAATAAGCGAACTATCTGAACCGATGGATACATCATATTGTGATAATGCAGTGTCTGCTGCATTAACCATTTAGGAACACAACGCTGTGATGAGACATGAGAAGCTCCTGGGAACCAACCGTATTGAAATTTACGTAGAAGAAACGGTGCCCCGCTACAGCGATCCTCTGTTTCGAGCCCACTTCAGGATGACGAGAGCATCCTTTCAGGTAAATAAGTTACTGACTGAATACATGCATGCCTGTGAGCTCCAGTTTTTTGTTTTGTTTGCGGAAACTGGTGCCACGATTGACAAAATGTATTCATGTGAGGAAATGTCTGTTCATTGCATGATACAAATTGATATCGATATGTTTGAGGTAAATGTTCATGTCGACATTGATGAAATATGTACGATAATGATACACGATATGAACCATTTGAGCCAAGTACCGATAATCCACATCCCTGCATGTGTGTCATTGCTTGCAAAGAAATTTGAATAAACACATGCTGTCTATGACAGTGTTCGAAAGCATGATACATAAATTGAATTATGCGCTTCATGTAAAACAACATGTTGTTACTATGAAATAATTTTTCTGTGCTCAGGACTTGCTGGAACTCATTGGACCGCACACTGAAGTCAAAAACATCAGTCTGGAGAGGAGAACGCTGGCTTGCCTCTGGTATGTCAGCAATCAAGAGACCTTCCGAAATGTCGTGGATCGTTTTGGCATGAGCAAGGGTTCCTTACGGTACTACCTGATGAACTTCTGTAGGACAATGACCAGTGAAGATATTCTACCCAGGCAAATTACATGGCCTCGGAAAGAGGAATATAGAGCCATTGCTGAACAGAATGCTGTAAAATATGGATTTCCTGGAGCCATTGGTTGTCTTGATGGAACATACATTCCCATTCCAGGACCTCGTGATTTCAGAGACTCCTACATATGCAGAAAAGGATTTCCCGCATTTCATTTACAGGGTGTGTGTGACAACAAACTCAAATTTTTGGATGTATTTGCTGCATATCCTGGATCTGTACACGACTCTCGTGTATTCAAAAACTCTCCAATAGCAAATTTATTGGCGAATGAACCATTACCCGAGGAGTATCACCTTCTTGGTGATTCTGCATATGCCTTGTTAACTTATTTGCTTGTGCCGTATAGGGACAACGGCCACCTGACTGCCGACGAGAAGAGGTACAATTCAGTTCACAGCTCAACAAGAGTCGATATCGAACGGTGTTTCGGACTACTGAAGGGCAGATTTCGCAAACTGAAATATTTGGACATGAGGAACGTCCGAGAAATCCCATTAGTCATTGTGACATGCTGTGTCCTGCATAACTTTGTCATCAACAGGGAGTCATTTGTGGATGAGGACATTGATGTGGATGGGACGGACACTGAGGGCACAACAGGAACTTCACCCAGTGAGCACCAGTCGGGTGTGAACAAAAGACAATAGATAACGCAACTGCTGTCATAGACTGATAATGTCCACAGCAGATGGAAAAGACACGTGTACATTTAGAAGTTTTTGTGTGAAAGACATAACGATGGCCACTGAATGTCCATGCATGACGAGTACTGATTACTTTAAATGTCAAAATGAATAAAAGAATGACTGAACAAGGTACATGTGCAATGATGATGACTTTATTTATGTTTTTCTTTCAAGAATTGCGCAATACTCTCCAACGCCACCACCCTCCTAGTCTCTAGCTCCATCCTCTCCTGATGCATGGTGAGGAGGTCTCTCCTCAGAGCAGTGATTGCTGACTCCATCCTGTCACCGGATGAGGATCTCCTCCGTCTGGGAGCTGCAGTAGCTGGGGGTTCTTCTGCCACTGTTTCCCCATCCACACTACTCCTCTCCTGTGTATGTGTGGTGGGCAAGCTACCAACAGGAGCGAGTGGCTCCACTGCAGGGTCGCCCTGTGTGAGATGTTCCATTACTGAGAAATAGCGCCATGTTGATCGGCCACTCCCAGTTGTCTTGTTGCGCCCCACAATGGTCCGGTGTCTGGACATTAAAATTATGTCATTAATGTGAGAGGAATATCAAAATGAATGGCACATGCAAGCTCATAATTAGTCCAGTTCCGTTCTATTGTGTCAATCTCTGATAAGTCAATATTCTTGATGGTGATAGAAATCAACCAACAATGAGAAAGGTGCATTTGGATGAGTCGTAGTCAGTATACGCTTCCAATTGTATGTAAGTGAAGCATGTAGTGTGCTAACAACATTGCATTGAACAGATGAAAGCATCATCCTGTTCTGTTCTGTTGTTACTGTATTTTCATAGATCCATCATGTCGGATGTCTCAATATGTGGATAAGAATAGGTTTGTTGTGTTCCCAACATTAACAAGTGTGTGCCTATTCAGTGAGCATATATTGACATTGAAAATTCAGCTGTAATGCTGCAACTAGTGCATGATTTAAAATACCTTGACTTCATGCTGCGGAATTTCCTGTCACATTCAGGTCCTGTGAAGTGAAAACCCTTTTCACTCATCCGATCTGCAACAGATTTCCATGCCTGCTTCATGGACACTGTAGTGCTGCTGAAGAGGTGTTGCAGTCTCTGTCTCAGATCTATGAGGAGCAGAACTGCTGCATGGCTCCAGTATACTGGAAATGCAGAACCCATTCACCATCATAACATTGCAAAAGCTGTCAAACATACATTTCTGCATACAAAGGAAACCTATTGCCAGCAGCAATTAATGTGTTCTGTGGGAGAAATAAGAGTCATTGAGAGACAGTAGGATTTGTGTAGATGTACATCTCCTGTTAGAGTCATGAGTTACTAACATAACAATAATATGCACTCGACATATTCTTTAAACATTTTATTTTATCTACATATGCCACAGAGGAGCCCAGATGACGAGGAACTGTTGCATATACACAAGACTGGATAATCATGTTCGTACAATGTTCTGTGGTAATGATGGTGGTAATGTACAACACAATCCTCTTACGTTTTTGTTCAGTCTCTGTCCCAGCCTGTGACTGCAGATCATCTGTAATGGTTAAAGATTAGTCACAAATTACTCAAGTCATCAACAAATATACATTCCAAGTACAGGAAGGATCAATGAAAGGATGCCAAATCACTCATATGTTGTTATTGTTTTCTTGAATTCTTCAATACACACACACTCACACTGACCGCATGTGACTTGGTACTAAAGCAGACAAAAGACTATCATATCAATCGGCTTATGGAATGCAACTCAAACGTGTATGAACTGAATACAAATGTTCTGCATTGCATATAACTGCCCTTTGATGCAATTAACATACCTTCATCCCCTTCTTCTCTTGCATGGCCTGTAATGAAGCAGTGAGGTTTAAAAAAGAGGTGTAATCATTGTCAATGCAAAAGCTAAATGAAAATATGAGAATGATGTTAAATTTGAAAACGTCATCAACACGTAGACAAAGTCATCAATATCCCCCGCACCAGTGGCAACTGTGACATGACAACACAATATTTCTCCTCAACAAAAAAACATTCCCTGCTCCTTCGTTGTTAATACAAGATTCACACAAGTGTTACATAATGTACATACATCGCTGTCAATGTTGCAGTGGTGAGATACACAGACATGTGTTGATAAACGTGTTGTATCACATTGGGTAAAGGGCTTCACTCACCATATGCCTCTGTTCACACAGCAGTGAATGGGTACCCAAGAGGCAGAGTGGGCGATGTAATGATGATCATATTCATATAGAGCTATTTGTCACATCATTACGGGGCATGCTCAAAGTGCATTCCACAACCTCACTTCCCCAGTGACTTCAACTATTGGTATTACAAATATGATATGGTAGTAGTAGCTGTACTACTTGTATTCAAACTTTTTAAAAATACTATACCCATTGCATAAAGGCTATTCTATAGGTAAAACCAAACCTTCAGCTGAAATGGTGGTCCTGTGCCGGAGGAGTTGAGGAGGCCCCTTGCTGGTGGTGCAGAGGAGGTGCTGGGTGCCGGAGGCGCTGAGGAGGCCCTGGGTGCTTCGGTGTTGCAACATCTGGATGTCCTCAGTTTTTGATGATTGGTAGCATCTCTGGTTGCTGCGTTGGTGTGGACGCTCTTGATTCTGTCTCTACAAGGACATTGCAGTATTCACCGATGGAACCATTCAGAAATGATTTACGTTTCCGCTTGCCTTTTCTCTATAACACTCCTCAGATCATTCACTAGTGTTACTTGAGTGGATATCGCAATACAACTAACTCACCCTTGGGAAGTGCAGCCACACCAATCTCCATGAATCTGACTTTCTCCTGCGCAGTGAGGTGATTGGGCGCAACTGCACCCAGTGTACCGAGAACATCGTCATCAACATCTCGGCTATAGGCAGCCTGAGACAGTTGATCAAAGGTGGCATGTTTGCCTAAGGCAACTCCACTGCCCTTGGCCATGGCTGACCATGTCTGTAGCAGCCCGAGGTCTGCTAAGACTTGCAGTGACTGCGTCAGTACTGCAACAAATACACATATATATATGTAAATCAATACTTTTGAATTGTGGGATCAGACAGTAGACACTGTAGCAACCTTGTATGCATTTCTGACAGTTGACATTATGTACACAGTTATCACACATCACATTTCAATACGCACAGATGTCAAATCATTATTTACTCACACAATTTTTTGCATCCTGTCTCATCCACTGGATAGATTCTCTGGAGGTAATTGTAGATGGCAGCTGAAGTGCCTGGACGTAGTGAAAACCATACCAATGTCTTAGCAATTACCAATTATTGGACATTGTTATGGGCCACAGAAGCTTCTGTAAATTCATTATTCACAATTTCACATCTTTTCATCACAGATACGAAGAGAAGGGTTCCTTCATTTCCCCCAACCCTACACCTGCCTCTCAACTTAACGCTAAACCTAACCCTCAACTTCAACCTAACCCTAACTTCAATATTGGACTTTTATTCATTTTGTGAGTTCTCTAGTCATTGTTGTGTTCAGTTTTGTTCATAATTTTAGTATATTTATGAATATTATTTGGGATGGGGGAACGGGAAGGACTCTCACCAATGTGTACATTCATAATGTTTTCTTCATAGCCTGTACATATGACATGGACATTTTAAACCCTTAATGCACAATCATAAATTGTAGCTGTCAACGAGCTACAACATTAAACATTGCAGATGCTGTATTAATGCAGTGTCCTTCACTTGTGACAGTGGCAGGCAATGACCACGCGTGTGAGGTGACGCGTTTGCTCAGGATTCCATCATAGCACAGCCTCATAACATCCACTGCGTGACTGTTTCACGGTTGAACAGTTCGCTTATCAGTGTCGGCATAGATCCTCAGTGACGTGGGAACGAACAGAGTGTAACATTTTGTGCCTGTGGGGTTTTGCAGCACCACCTCTTCTACCGTCTCCGTGTTGGTCGCCATCTTGGTTCGCTTGGCGAGGCAGCTGTGGGGATGGCTCGCGTGCGCGCGCGGGCGCTCGCACGGTCACAGGCGTTCAGGATCGAGCGCTCGCGAGCGATCGCGGGCGCTCGCGGTTCTGAACACGCCTCTCCTGTCTCCTTCTAACATCAACAGTAGAGGGACACATGGATACACACCTGTATTGAAGGCTGCCTTCTTTGGACATAAAGATGTGGTTGACCTCCTAATACAGCACAAAGCTGACCTGACACTTCTGACAGACAGTAATGAGGACATCGTAAGTGTAGCTGAGATGGGAGGGCATCCTACACTGACCAGTTATCTATATTAACTGTTCACCAGCCACAGGGCTGTTCTTCCACATGCTTCTGTTTATAGCGGGGGGTACAGGTTTGAGGGAAAGGAGAGATGTACACAATACAAAAATGTTATGTGTTCACAAAACAGTTTGTAAGCCATATTTTAGCCAAGTAGTATTATCTTAAAAAGTTAACCAACAATTTGGTCGTTATAAGAGGTAGATTTAATGTAATATGTTAGTCATCACGGGATGTTGACTTTTGATGCTGGTCACTTTGATGTACTTAACGATGAGTTTGACAGCATCTATCTTGTCCTTTACATATTTTGGCTGTCCTTGTCGCTTTATTACTGGTGGCGGTGGGGTAGTCTAGTGGTTAAAGCGTTAGCTCGTCACGCTGAAGACCCGGGTTCGAATCCCCACATGGGTACAATGAATGAAGCTCATTTCTGGTGTCCCCCGCCGTGATATTGCTGGAATATTGCTAAAAGCGGCGTAAAACCAAACTCAGTCAGTCAGTCAGGCTTGATTACTGATACTATTTTTTTAAACACGTCAACAAGTCATTTGGTCATCATTATAAGAATTGAAAAGGTAGATGCCCTGTAATATGTTTAGTCATCATGGGATGTCGACTTTTGATGCCGGTCGTACTGTTGTGATTTCTGTACAGTGTAGGTGCTCCAGTAGTTAGATGTTGTACTTTGGTGATTCCTGAACATAGCAGGTGCTCCAGTAGTTACATGTTGTACTATTGTGATTACTGAACAGAGCAGGTGCTCCAGTAGTTAGATGTACTGTCGTGATTACTGGACAGAGCAGGTGCTCTACTAGTTAGATGTTGTACTGTTGTGATTACTGAACAGAGCAGGTGCTCCTATAGTTAGATGTTGTACTGTCGTGATTACTGAACAGAGCAGGTGCTCTACTAGTTAGATGTTGTACTGTTGTGATTACTGAACAGCGCAGGTGCTCCAGTAGTTAGATGTACTGTCGTGATTACTGAACAGAGCAGATGCTCCAATAGTTAGATGATGTACTGTTGTGATTACTGAACAGAGCAGATGTTCCAGTAGTTAGATGTTGTACTGTTGTGATTACTGAACAGAGCAGATGTTCCAGTAGTTAGATGTTGTACTGTTGTGATTACTGAACGGAGCAGGTGTTCCAGTAATTAGATGGGGTTCTTCCTGCGTACCCAGCAGCTTTTGTTCTAAGGTGCCAGATCAGTGAAGCAATGTAATCCCAAGAACAAAGGGTGCGCCTGTAATTTAGTTCCCTTTGAGATTTGGTCCCCCAGCAAAGAAGAAAAAGGTGTAAATTATCACCATTTTATTTACGATTTCATCACAAGTTGACATTAACACGCTGTTAAGGCGCGAAACAGGATCGTCAATGGAAATGTTGAATGTATCTATGTGTTCTATTTGGTGGCCTGGCACCACCTTGCAGTTGAAAAATACAGGATTCGATCAAGGCCTGTTCCTTCTTAAGAAAAATCTATGATTTTGTAGATTTTGGGGTGGCTCTCCATCAACACATCCAGCTTTCTGTGTCGCCCCTCTACATGGTTGTTCACCCTCCACCCAGTAGGTTGTCACGTAGTTGGTGAAGCTGCTGTCACAGGGTTGAGCATTTTCTGGGGTATGGAACCACACGTCACAGACAATGTACACAGGAACCAGTCGAAAGGTCATAGCTATCCTCACCAACAGCCCAACATCACTGTTGTCCTTGTATCATGTCACTAAACCACATTTTTGCACATTTTCCCCACCCAACTTGAGTGTAATGGAACATACAATAAATTAGAGGAATAATGGTGTCTGCTGTCATGTCACTTTGGCTGTAGGTGGTGAACACTTGTAAGCCAGCTCCCTCATCAGGTGAGCCCTAAGCACTAATCCCCCTGGCCGGCTGGCTGACCTGGAACATATTTCAATGGGAGGCTCAACATGTCCACAGTCAACCAAGCATTGCTGTAAATCCCCCTAATCTGCTGGGTAAGCGGGCATGAGCCGCTGTACTGTTGGATGGAAACTTACTTCAATATGTTCTTTATTGACCTTGTATTATGTCTGTTAATTTTAAAAATCTTCATTGCAATTATCAAATTCTCCCCAATAAACATTGGATCCTGAAATGTAAGCGTCACGATGATTAAAGAACCACTAAACTTTGTTTTTTGTTACTCTTTTAACCATTACATATGAAAGATTTGTGGTTAGTCTTATGCGGAACACCAAATTTATTCTTTAAAAACTTGTGGTTAATTAATACCGAGCGATTAAAAGTGGCCAAAAAGTCGCCTGCTTCCCTCTCGCCCGCCAACGAAACCACAGACAGGTTACGTAACTCTGTCGCCAGAGCACTGCAGTGACGTCATATGAGGAACGATTTTCAGTTAGTTGTATAGAAAATGTGTAGCACGCTCATCATTTTGATGATTTCTCGACATCAACGACGACATGCCGAATCGTTGCTTTGTCGTCAATTGCTCCTAGGGGTCGGGCGATGGTGTCCCCATGCACAGATTTCCACAGGACCCCGCAGTTCGTGCTAAATGGGTTATGTTTGTGAGTGCGAAGCGAGCGTTGTGGAAGCCTGAAACGATATCTTACTTGTGTTCAGATCGCTTCACGGAAGTTAAAGAATCAAAACTACTTACTAGTTGTAGTAAAATATGCATATGATTGATGACCATAAAGATTTTCTATGACACAACTTGTAACATAACGATTTCTTCCTCGGAAGTGAGGTTGTGGTCGAAGTAACAATAATATTGTAAGTAGTATTATATTGACACCCACCTCGCTGCCACGAGAGAAATTGTTATGATATACGCTATGTCATGCAAAATCCTATTGGCCATCAATAAAATACATATTTATTACCAGTAGAAAGTAGTTTTGATTTTAGAACTCGGTGAAAACAAACCTAAATACCATTTATCCTCAGACTGGCGGATGTTCCCGATAGGGCGCCGCCATTTTTAAAATATAAAAAAATCTGTTAGAATTAATGAGATTATAGTTTGTTTTCATCAAGTTAGAAAATCAAGACTACTTTCTACTCGTTGTTAAATATGTATTGGAATCATAACCAAACGGATTTTGCATGACACAACTTATAACATAACGATTTCTTCCACGGAAGCGAGGTGGGGTCGAAGTCACAATACTGCGCGATAAATTTCTTGCTACATTCCCATGGTTAATGTCCACTCACCAGTATGTAGATACTAGTCAATGTGCGTCTTTATATTTGGTCTTATAATCCTAATTAGTTTATTATCACACTTGTATGCATTTTGAAACTAAATAAAAGCAGACGATCTGCTGATACTTATAGTGAATTTATAACAGAACTGTAATATCTAGACATTTTATAGTTTGCCAATGTGAATCATAATTCGCACACACACCCTAGTGCATGTTGTCTGTCTCATTACACTTCACGGCGAAAACAATGATTCTGTTGAATGCTACGACAAATGAATAAAACAAAATGCAAATATTAAAATTAAAACAGATTAAAGTTATAGGAACAATATCAGGCCATTACCTTGTTCGAGGAATGTATCCATCAATATCCACAAAACTGTTCCAAATGATGTGTCTTTTAACAGTTTAATATACGAAAAAGTGATAAATCTTTTCAGGTATTGGTGTATAGTCTCATTGGTCACCCAAGATAGCACACCTGGCAACTAATTGCATAATGTCCGCCTTTCTTTAAAACAGTAATTTAGTTAGCCAATAATGGGCAATCAATCAATGTATTGCCGGTTAATCCTTTGAAAGAAGGACGTTGTTTTTACGCAGACACCGACACGACAGAGTGTATTCAGTATAGATTAGTAAATCTACATACATAAACACTACCTTTTGACAATTCCGCTGTGTAAGATAAAAGTAATTAATCAATCAGCGTGTTATCGGTTAATCCTTTGATCGATGTTTATAATGTTGAATATTTACTCCAGACACAAGAAATGCCAAATGGGAACCTTTGTCGGGTAATCTAAGTGTGTTACCACTAATTATACCTGTTATAAATTCATTAACTGACCATCAAGTGAATGATGACAAATAACGTGTAGGTTTATACCACCTAACACGGGTTACAACGAGGGAGTATTAATTGCTGTATTGCATGTGAAAACTTATGGGCCGACACTGTTTTGAGAATACAAACAGATTTTTACATGACATGATTAAATATCGAGGTAAAACAACACAGAAATGGGATCAATTTGGATCAGTCATTATACAAATAGGGCCTAACGACACCAATCGATTTTGACAGAATCGTCTATGAAAACAAGTTGTAACTCGGAAACTAGGCAAAGCAGGAGACAAAATTAAATGACAGTAGATTGTGAGAACATATAGCTTTCATTTTCCACAACAATTGTCACGATTTCAGGTTTATACAAGCCTGTAAACACGATAATTTACCCCCTAAAATGTAGATGAATTCTGCATCGGCTCTCAAAGCTATTCCTCATATGACGTCACAGAGGCGCGCCGCTCTGATTGGTTGAAATTTCGTTCGCGGATGAGAATTGTGCACTGTTGTCA